TTAACTAATAATATACATCGTGTATCTGAATGGCCGGTACGGTGCGTATTATGCAGGAACCCTCGACTAGTTTGGGGCCCCTAAAGGGCTGGTTTCAGCAGCGTTTTTTTTTTTTTTCTTTATGTATTTTTTTACTTCTTTTCTACCTAAGTTATATTGTCAATCATCAACTATAATAATCGACAGGGCCGGTGTTTACTACTCCGAACCTCTGAACCGGGTGAGGGCTATATTTAGTCGTCCCCCCACGAGGGCGTCATGTGGCACAAGGCCGGTTTAACGTGGGCACTCCGAGCCCGTGAGCTCGGCCAAAAATATACCCATTGAACCCGTATAAACGGGTTCAGGGCCGGTCTACCTCCCCGAAGGAGACTCCGCCCTTCGGCGTAGCCTCCTTCGAGTTCCTCCCGTCCGTAGACAGAGAGTTGAACCGAACAGTCGCTCAGAAAGTGAGGGCTTCATGCTTACAGGGGAGGATGGGAAGCAGAAGTGCTTATTTCAGTAGCGTTTATTTTGTTTTAAATTGTAATTTTATTTCTAAAGATTTCTTTTAAGTCAATTAAGAGGGCAATATATCTCAGTAAAATAATAAAAAAAAAATTATTCCGAGATCATCCACTAAAGAGAATCTCCGATATTTTTTACTAATAGTAATACTAACGGCTAGTAATTAAAATAAAATTTCTAGTCCCTATTTTTTTACATTTGTAGAAAGATAAAACCGAGAAAATGGTCGCTTAAAAATAAAAATGTTTAAAGATTTCAACACATAAAATATGTTCCCGAAAACTGAAATAATGTTTTTAAAACAAAATTTTATGACAATCCCGTTTGTGTTGTGTTGGAATGTTTGCAAAGTTTTTTTTTTCAGCGTCGGTGATTAATCTTTATGAAAATGTAAAAATTTTGCGACTTAAACATTTTTTTTTCTGAGTAAAATTTAGTTATGAAAATATTGGTGGTTATTAGAAAAAAGAATAACATTTTCTCAGATTTTTTAACATTTTTAAAAAATCTATTCATTATAAAAGTCCATAATTAATGAATATGTATCAAAGCTTTCATTTAAATTGGATAATTCCCGGATTTTTTGGTAATTTAAAAAAAGCGCTGCCCTTCTCTAATTTTCCTTCGATGGTTTGTGGGCCTCAGGTTGGGAAAAATTGAAATCGACATGTAGTATTTCCCGTATCAAAGTTTTGGTAGGGGGGGCGGGGCGGGGGCGAGACCCTAGCGCCGGCACTGGGTTAAATAGTTGGATTTGTATCTGGAAAAAAAATCATTGTTATCGCCCCAAAAATTGTCAATTCAATATCCCCTCGCAAAAATATAATTATTCTTACAATAAAAAATGTTTCAACTTTAACACATTAACTGACAACCATAAGAAAACGTTTTAAGTTTTCTCATGGTTGGACTTTAAATATTTCATAAACTTTAAATAAATGTTATCGTATTATACATGTTCCTTTTTAGTTTTATGCTTTCTTTAAATTTCTTTATTTTTATTTTTTCGTCTCACCAAACCATGAGCTTTCTTTTATTTTGAGTGAAACAATTTCAGCGTTCTGTAGTTGATACTTCCCAAGAGATGAGCCTTTGAATGCAAGGTCGAACCTTGAAAAAGAGTTTTCATGAGAGGAGATATAATCCTGGAATATCTAATCATTACGCCTATTTGGATCTATCAAAAACTTATGCGTCTATCCAAAATGGTGCCATGTTATTCAGCTTAATTAAAAACATACTCGTGGGATACTGAAGAACATTTAAATTCTTAATTTACGACATTCATATTGGACTGTCGAAATAAAATCTTTTCAGGAAGGAGTTCTCAACTGATGTGTCATATCAATCCTCCTGTATGACAGTAAATGCTAGACAGTTTCAGCACAGGTAATGAGGAAACTTAACTCAACAGTGATGTGGTTATACAGAAAAATACTGAGAATACCTTGGGCGGAACATGTGATCAATGAGGAAGTTCTAAGGAAAATAGAAACAAAAAGGACACTAATACTTAGAAGCAGAAAGAAACAGCTGAAATTTCTGGGACACATAATAACGAAAGAGGGCTTGGAGAATTGAACACTCACAAGACATAGTGAAGAGTGACAGAGGGAAACAGTGCTTAACCTACATAACGAGCTTGTGTACATGGACTGCAGAACAGGTACAAAAAAGATAGAAGGAAGACAAACATTACTTAGAATTGAGAAGGGGAAGAAGTTTTGGAAAGCCATGATCTTGTCAAGATCCATCAGTTTATGGCACATAAAGACAGAAGAAAATTCCAACGTATATAATAATTTTGGTTTTTATCCTCACAACATATCGGCCGTTGTATCTCCAACCTTCTTTAGGTATCTGTCTAAAGCGTTAATCATTTTTTAAAAATTCTAAATAATAAACCTATAATAATGCTTGTTCCTCAGAGACGCTGTTTTAGTCAAAAGAAGAAAGTATACATAATAAGAAGAAAGAAAAAAAAAGAAAGAAAGGTGGAACGAAAAAAGAACAAACAAAACATTGATGCGTTTAACGTCTGCTTCAGTAAAATGGAAAAAAAATCTTGTCAGTTTTGAATAATTTAATTTGTACCCTCTTCTTTAAATAATGGCCTGCATTCAAATTTATTATTGTTATTGTTATATTTTGTTAAAGTTGTTAAGCTCAAATATTTATCGATTTAATAGGAGTATTTCTACGGCTATTTTAGAGTCGGGATATTCGCAAGAAGTTTATTCAATTATTATTAGAATCATGATTCATCAAAAAATTAAAAACAGAAAAAAAGCTTACCACAATTTATTATTCATAAAGAGCGACAAATAAAGAATATGGAACTTATATATATGATTTAAGGATGCCAGGGAAAAGAGTTCAGTATGTATCTAACGCCACCTGCCATACTCTATCTTTTCAAGAGCCAGATCGGATCAAAAATGGAGTATTGCTGCAATTTCTGGTCTGAAACTGCCCAGTCCTTACTTATCTGCCTTGATACAGTTCAAAAGTGTCACCGCGGCCTTGTGGATGATGAATTATTTTTCACCTTTTGACCACTTTCCCACAGATGTAACGTTACAGGCCTCTGGCTACTTTATCGCTATTTCCAAGGCAAGTATTTTGACGACCTACATTCCTTGACCTTTGCATCTGAATGAACCATCCTCATTACCTTCATTTTCCATTAGTAAGAGACACAGTTGATTAATGGATTGAGAAATCGGAGAGCCGAGTTCGAATCTCAATCGAGTTCATTACATTCACTTACGTGCTAATAACCTTGGGAAAGCTATGGGTAAATAATAGGACAGATTGGGTTCTATAGCCTTGAATTGCAACCGGTCTAGGTGAAGACAAACTGAAGTTAAAACTGTATGTAGACCTGGCAAAGCACATACCATGCCGGCAAGGAAAGTATCGTTCCCACTGACTCGATGATCCCGACTAGCGTCGATTCCTTTAAGAAGAAATATTTCTTTCGGACAACTTCCTCCAACTACTGCTTTGTTTAACAGACTGCCGGCAGGATGCTTTTCCAATCAATACAATCAATGCACTTCGACGTGATGTCAAGCTTATCTCACTAGAACAATTACGACTGAATAGTGAGTTCGATCCTCACTAGGTGCCCCATACTTTCGGCTTTGTTCTACATCTAAGCTACACTAAGAAAACCATCACTACTACAATTGCGACATCTTCAATCTAAGATTATCCATTATATTTCCTACATAACTCCATGAATATCACTCCTTGCCTTTACATCATGCACTCATATCTCCCCCCCCCCACAGTAACTCTCGACTTTCAGTGGTTCTTGGGTGTTTTATTGGGTAAACTTCAGTATTATCCAAAGAATAATCAGCAATATTATCGGTCCTGATCTGGTATCTCGGCTTCAGTCACTTTCCCACCGCTATAAGGTTGCCTCTCTGTGTCTTTTCTATAAATACTTTCATGGTAATTGTTCGGGTGAGCTATTCGCTAAAGGACCTAGACTTTTTGAATTTAAGTGCATTACTAGACTGGCATCGAAATCACACCAATCCACATTTGAGCTGGCGAGATGTAACCGTAAATTCTATGCTAACAGTTTCTTCTCTCGCACTTCTCGCTTGTGGAAATCCTTTCTGGTTCCATGCTTTCCCGTCAACTTTAATCTTTAAAAATTTAAATGCAATATCAATCGCTATTACTATTTTGTCCTCGCCCCTCAGTAATGTTTCTGTTTCTAATTCTTCAACACCCAGTAACCTCTTGTGTCTTAGCAGCTTTTTCGCCTTGCATAGGGTGAAATCGATTATATATATATATATATATATATATATATATATTGGTTAAGTAATTTAGACGTATTATCTCTATTTATTTTAGTTTTAATCCTTTCAAGTCCAGAAATTAATTTCTTGATGGCTATAGTGCTTCATCATCATCATAATATGCAAAAACATAAAATTCTGGAAGCCCTATAACAGAATTGCGGTCAGAAACTATGAGTATAGCAACAAAGTTCTTAAATGTCTGTAGCAGCAAAATGATATAAAAAAATACTATATTGAAATACTACAATTTAAAAATCATTAAAAAAATTAAAAATAAAAATTTAAAAAATCAAATTTGTTACCTCCTTTTTATAGAAAACTATTTTAAATTTACGGTGTTAATATAGATATTCAACCACTGAAGATGGTCTCAGATGATGTTGAAAGTACTTTGGAAAATAAAAATTATTTGAAAGGACATTTTTGAATTTTTCTAAATCAAATTTCTAGTCAACAAGAAATTAATGCGTGGACTTGGAAGGATGAAAACAAAAATAAATAGACATAATACATATAAATTATTTAACGATATATATATATATATATATATATATATATATATATATATATATATATATATATATATATATATATTTCTTATATATATATATATATATATATATATATATATATATATATATATTAGAACATGACGTTTCGCCCTCTCAGTTTTGTTGACTTCTCTCTTATCATATCGACCTTTGGGTGCTTTCCTTCTTTGTTATTTGAAAATAATATTTTACCTTTTTTTTCTTTTGTTGCCTGCTGACCTGGTTTCTTTCTCTGTGAGTTAAACTTGTTCTTTCTCTTTTGTGCATATAAAAAAAAAGTTTTCATTACATTTGATCCCTGTTACGCAATCTCTCAATGACATTAACTGGGACATGTTTTTGGTAAGCACACTCATACTATACTAAACCGTACCATTCCACCCATATATATATATATATATATATATATATATATATATACTAATGACCAATTCATGTGTTAGTTCATATTAGGGAAAGAAATCGCTGACAACTTCAGTAACAAATACACTTAAATGCCTACAGATATTCAGTCATATATGTAAGGGTTCACCTCATTAACATACCCACACACACACACACACACACACACACACATATATATATATATATATATGAAGAAATATAGTCTTAAGGTGTGATATATTTATGGGATAAATTTTTCTTTATCAGAGATGGACCGTGTGTAAATATAAAAGTGAACATTGAAGTCAACACTTAGAGGCGACAGGCTGTTTCGTGGCCTGACGATTGCGTCTATCATGAAACAGCCTGTCGCCTCTAAGTGTTGACTTCAATTTTCACTTTTATATATATATATATATATATATATAGCGATTGCCATTTCAGTTACTTAGTCATTACTGGCCATGTGTGATTTATTTTCAAGCAAGACAAAGATTATAGTAATTTACCAATCATTATCTTCATATTTAAAAGAAGAAAAAAATGGACCCTTTTATGCCATGTCTGATTTTCGATACGTGTTCATTATTCTTTAACTAAATATAAACTGAAATCAGTGATGCACACTTAGGCCGATTGTAAAAAAGTGTAAGACAAGAATGATCCTTCATGGCGGACATAGTCAGCCTATACAGTGAGTCGATCCTGAGAGAATTCCTACCAGGATTCAGTATTGGCAGCCACAATTTTAACAACTTAAGATATGCAGATGACCCAGTGTTGATAGAAGACACAGAAAAGAGATTACAAAATCTCCTCCAGAAGGCAGTGAAGGGGAACAAGAAGAAAGGTTTAAGCATCAATTGCAAGACGACAGAATTAATGGTTGTTAGCAAACGGAACAACCCAATATGCAAATTACAAATTGGAGATACCAAGGTACAACAATTTAAATGTGTTTTAAAAGAGGAAGGAAATATGTGACGCTGACATCCGAAGGCGCATTGAGATAATGGAAGATGCCTTCCAAAAGTTAAGCAGAGTATTAAGAAACAGGAAAATTTCGTTAGAAACAAATAAAAGAGTTCTGAACTGTTACGTAATATCATTTCTGCTATATATCAGTGAATGCTGGACAATATCCTCACAGATGAAGAAGAGATTTTAATCAACAGAAATGCTGTTCTACAGAAGGACGCTGAGAATACTATGCACCCAATATGTGTGCAATGATGAAGGTCTAGCGATAATGGCAATGAAACGGTTAGCTATGCTTAACAACAGGAAGAGACAGTTGAAATTTCTGGGGCACATAATGAGAAAAGAGGGCTTGGAAAATTTGATAGTCACAGGACAGATTGTAGGCAAGAGGGATAGAAGAAAACAATGCATAACGTACCTAATGAGCTTGATTAAATGGACCACGGAACAGAATTTAGCAGAGATAACAAAAAGAAAAAAATTATTAAGAACTACAACAGATAGGAAATTGTGGAGAACCATGATCACCTTAAAGAAGTATTTTTTGTTGCTTACATAGAAATCCTGCTGGTAGATGCAGTTGCCGACACCATAAGTTTGACGCTGCGATCACGCATTCACATGGTTGTCGGTATTTGCTAGCACCCCACAAGAGGGTAGATGTGGTACAAGACCAAGTTTAACGTGGGACATCCGGGCCCTTAGGCTCGGCCAAAAATTCCCCGTAGAACCAGCATAAACGAGATCGGGTGGGTCCCCGAACGAGGCTATGCCGAAGGGCAGAGCCTCGTTCGGGTTTCTCTCTGCCCTTCGGCATAGTCTCGTCCGGGTTTCTCTTTGCCCTTCAGAATAGTCTCGTCCGGGTTTCTCTCTACCCGAAGGCATAGTCTCGTCCGGGTTTCTCTCTGCCCGAAGGCATAGTCTCGTCCGGGTTTCTCTTTTCCCTTCGGCATAGTCTCGCCCGGGTTTCTCTCTGCCCGAAGGCATAGTCTCGTCCGGGTTTCTCTCTACCCGAAGGCATAGTCTCGTCCGGGTTTCTCTCTGCCCGAAGGCATAGTCTCGTCCGGGTTTCTCTTTTCCCTTTGGCATAGTCTCGCCCGGGTTTCTCTCTGCTCGAAGGCATAGTCTCGTCCGGGTTTCTCTCTGCCCGAACGCAGAGAGTTCGACCATCATAGCTGAAAAGATTTCAGTGATTGTCAGATCGGGCGACATTTAAGTTTTCAATTGACGTAACTGAAAATGGCCAAATTGTATTTTTAAACGTTTCATTCCAAGCAACGCGATAATGTCACTGAGCCGCAGTGGGGTGGGAGGGTACGGAGAATAAAAAAAATGAGAAAACATGTGACGAGAAGCGATAATAAAAGATCCTAGGTGACTGGAAAGCGAGAAATTCTACAATTAAGAAATGAAAGAAAAGAAACTATTAGACTATAACTTGTAGCGAGCTAACTGAACAGTAAAACGATGACAGTTAGTTGCCAGTCTAATACTACGTTTAAATTCATGCAATCAAAGTAACAAAAAGTAAAACTTATTTTAAATAATGCCATGAAAATATATAGAGAAAATAAACAGAGGGAAGCTACGTCACGGCGTGAGGAAAATGATTGAAGTCCAGATGCCAGGTCATGACCGATATCATTATAGGTTTTTCTTTGGATTATATTAAGAATCTTGCACGGACGAATGGTAGAGTTATAAATGTCCATCATGTTTCCTGGTGAGAAAAATTGTCGAGCAGGACCAGTGAACCAACCTTCCTAGCAGAAGAATAAACGATTGACATTTTTAAATTAGCTCCAAATGCCAGAATTTAGTAACGTTGAGAATTTGAAAATGATCCGATTTGTCGCACATAAAGAACGTCAGGTTGAGGATATCATTTTTTTTTTGGCGGGTGGTGGGTGGGTGGTAAGATTTACCGAATTTTGTACCGAAAACTCATCAAAACTTGTAATGATCCACGAAATGACGTAACTTCTAGTTTACCAGTAATTTTAATCGGTTTAGTTTGGTTTGTTTTACGGCATATCAACCTCAATGGGTTATTTAATGCCGGCGAGATTTTTATTGCTGATAATATTTTTTTGCAAAAAGTAATTCTGGTAATATTTTTTCTCAAAAAGTATTGCTGGCAATATATTAAAAAAATGTATTTCTGGTAATTTTTTTTTTTTTCACAAATGTATTGCTGGTAATAATTTTTCCTCAAAAAAATTATTGCTTGTAACATTTTTTTACAAAAATGTATTGCTGGTATTAAAACCTATTTTTACACTTTCATAGAGTTTTGACCCTAGTTTGGGCGTTAACTATTTGCCTATAGCTGGAACCCTAACAGGTGCTACCACTCTGCGTCAGAGTAGACCTGGGAACACCAGAAATTAAGATCGGGTTCTATGCTCCTCAAAACCTTCTAATCAGAGGCCTTACTGTCGGATGTAGTTTATTGTCTTACCCAGGACGGGATAATTTTAACTACTCGCTATATCCACAGCCCTTTATTAAATCAAATTTACCATCTGTTGTTATTTATTTTATTTTATTTTTTTGTGTGTGTATTCAAGTTGACTTTGGAATGGAAAGAAGAACGGAATATCATTCATTATTTACATTTGGACTATTGTCTCCATCTTTGTTGTTATTATCGCAACATTTCGGTCGTTGAGCTCTCCAACATTCATCAGGTGTTTGTCGATCCGGATAACATTCCGGGAATTTTGAGCTGAACCCTTTATTCAATCTACAAGGGGTAGATTGTTCTCATTCCATTGTCCACGTCTCTGGATATTTCGTCTTATTCTTATTTAGTACTTCCCACTTAGGTATTAGTGTATTTGTGAAATTGGAACATAGTAATCGTGAGTTCAATCTCTGGGTGTGGACACAGAGTCAGCCATAACTGAGCAGCTCTAAATAAGAACAAGACGAAACATGGAATGTGGAATGAAAACAACCTACACTACTCGAAGATTACATACAGGGTTTAGTTCGAAATTCCTGGACCGACCAGCACCTGATGATGACCGGAGACTTAAATGTTGTGATAATAACAACGAAGATGATAACAAGAGTGTAAATAATATAAATAGTTATAAATCTTCATCGTAGACAGAGAATATATATCATTCCCCATCAATATGAAACTCATCATTTTAGGCATCAGTTTTTGTGTAAATAAAACATTTTCAACGTGAGTTCAAGAAGAACCTTTTCGCCTTATAGTCGAAAAGCTCTGATAGCCTTATATGTCGTGTGTATATTCTGTTAAGGAGGCACAGTAATGGATAGAGGCTCGGATTGAGGAATCGGAGAGCCGAGTTCGAATTCCTATCAAATCCATTACATTCACTTACGTGCTAATACCATTGGGAAAGGTATGAATCCTCTTCTCCCCTCCCCCCCGGCTATGGGTAAATAAATAAATAGAAGGACAGACCTTGGATAGCAATTGGTCTACCGCAGAAAGAAATGGCAACCTACTGCGTGAAAAAATCTGCCTCGTCAGTCATGTATCGAAAGATACATGATCGCTTAAATGTGTATCACGCATGACACATAAATGACTAATGTTCTGTTATAGTTAACATAAAAGTGGCTCCCTAAAAAAATAAAGAAAAAAAGAATATCATAGAAAAACTCCGTGTCACATTCTAAGCGCCAAAACCATCAGAAATATTTCTTCAAAAAATGGTAATTAAGTGTTAGTTATCAAAAACAATTCCTCATTCCAGCCGTTTTATTTTCATCATTGGACTTTAACATAAAAACAAAGAATATCCCTAAAGGTGAGTTTGGGAATGAGAGTTAAAACGAAGTAAGTGACTGTATCAGTCGTATATTTATAAATGCGATTAACAATGAGA